CTCTGGCGAACAGGAATGCATCATAGTTTCAGTGGTCCTAAAATGTTGCCGGAATATTACAAAGCCCTTTTCATAAATGAATTAATTCTACCAGAAGTTCCAATCACAACCATAAATATTGCGGAAGTGGTTGAGCTTGCTTTTGTGGGAAAAATACCGTCCACAGAAACCAAGTCTGCTGTTCTGTATTTTGCCTTCCTGAAAAAGCGTGAATTTCAAGCTCACAACATAATTTTACTTTCGTTTATTTCTCACCAACTGAACTATGGCATCGTTTCAAACCCAATACGCTGTCACCCAAAGGGTGTGTGCATTGAACAATCATGGTGTTAAGAGTCTCAATCTTGGCGAGATGTCAAGTGCATATGGCTACTTTGCCGAGGCACTTGAAACTGTGAAGCAACTCATTCAGTTCTCACAGCAACAGGCTGAAATTTACGGTGATCCCGTGGACTCAAAAGCAAGCTACTGTTTCTCTTACTCGCCTTCTGAGAGCAGGTCGCTTGAGGGATACGTGAAGAGGCAGGATGCCGTCTACATTTGCGACCGGCCACTGACAGTATCGCTTGTTGACCCGTGTTCTTCGAAGCATTCTCAACCGATCAGCTTTCTCTGTTCTCTCCTCCTGTTCAATATGGCGCTCCTACATCACGCGCTTGGTCTACATGAGGAAAGTCCGATCGCTTTAGAGAAGGCAAAAATATTCTATGAAAGATGCCTTCTCATAGCAAAAAGTGAAAACAACGCTGCTGCGCACAATGATAACTTGCTGGTAGTTGTTAGTGCCTTAAACAACATGGCACAGTTGGCAATGGAAGATGGAAATATCCAGATGGTACGACATTATCTCAACCAGCTTGGAATTATTTGTCGCCGCCACTCTTTCGCGAATGACAGCGTCTTCTATCAAAATGAATGGAAAAACATTCTCTCCAATGTCCTGTTGCGAGATGGACTGTATGCTGCACGAGCCGCATGATGATGAGCGAGATGATGATATGATGAAAAGAAGATATAAAAAGATTAGAATAGAATAACCATATAGCAGATGATACCAGATGCTTTTCTGCTACATGAATTGGAAGGGGGGAAGTTAGGCAAGGTAACGCGTGGTATATAAATATATCAGAGGAACGGCCGGGAAATAGACATTTAGCATACAATTCTTGGGAGTAAATATTGATTTTCCCGGCCGTCCCAGATGAGTGATACGAGATAAGACACAAAAGATGAGCCTGAAATCACATGAACCCGCGAAACTTTCGGAGCTGTTTTACACATACCGGTACCATTGCGTATATATGTGTTAAAATTAATCCGGCATCGTATCTCTCCGGAAAAGTACTTGTACCGGTAGGTAGGTATGGTACGAACCGCATATACGGTACACGTGTACGTGCATCACACCTTCGATGCCGGATCAAGACCAACATGAATCAATCGTTTCCGGTAGGCGGCAAGACGGCATGGAACCCTGACAACGAGAACCCTGCCGGTACGCTGTATCATCATATACGAGAACCGTCATCAATCATCGATCATCAAAAGGACATAATATATACAATCATACAATCATATTTAAAATACGGCCAAACTTCATGAAGATCACTATAATCGCTTTACCACTTTGCCTCTTCGTCCTACAAGGGCCATTAGCAACTTCTGCTTTCTCAGCGAACAAACCATCGTCGCCATCGATTCGAACGAAGGATCATTCGTACGTAACCTCCCTGTTCTACAGAAAGCACGAGCATGAAGACGAACACAAAAGTAAAAGAGCAAAACAAAAGACTAGGCGGCGAGTGTACAAGCACTTGTTCCGACACTACGGAGATATTAGCTTTGATAGTTGGCTTCGGTGCGAGGATCCCCAATCATTTTTGCTTTCGATTGGATACACACAAGGAGAAATTGACAAACTATCAAATGATTTCCCCCCACTATTGACATTAAATGTACACGACCAACTGGCATCAAAAGTCCGCTTTTTAGTTGAGACTCTAGGAGGAGGAGAAGGTCGGTTGACCTGGAATCAGGACCAAGACAAAATTGAAACGTCATTCATCATGTCTCCGGATGATGGCGAAGCCGAATGCTCACTCTTGGACAACTCGGAATCTTCGGGCGATCAGCATTCACTGCGATTATCAACAATATCCAAAATGAATGCTCCAGCTGGCTTTTTTGGATGCTCGTTAGATCGCGAAGTTGGTCCATATCATGCCTACCTTCAGCATTCTGGCTTGCTTTGTGGACCCGAACTGCTTGCCGAACCAACACGATTTGTGGAGTTCTTGGAAGCCTCCAAGTCGATCGAGGCTTTCTCGGAACTATGTCAGCAGTGGAGTGACCCCAAAGAGGCAACCGATAAACATTCCACAGAAACAATAGGGGCATTCTTGGACAGCATTACGCCGGGCCTATTGCCAGTTGCCAAAAAGGACACGTCGTATTTCGTCGACCTGTTGCTGCAACATGGATACAATCCTCTCGAGTATGATACGAATACTGGTATTGGGCCACTTCATTGGCTGGCGGGCCGTGGGCAGCTGGCAGGAACACAATCGGTGGTTCAGGCACTCCTTCAGGAACATGACGAGTCATCTCTCTTGGAGTTACTAGACAACACACGAGACCCGAAAATGGGCGCAACACCCTTCCATTGGGCCGCCTGTGGTATGAATACAAGCTTGCAAGGTGGCGGAGGTAAGAATGCACCATAATAAAGAGTGCAATGTATATGTGTTCTGTGTATGACCTTGGCTCACTTATTTGTTGGAATCTGAAACTCTGAAAGGCTCTATTGAAGTCTGTCGATGGATCATCGATCGGGTTTTTGAAGAGGGTGATAAGGATGCTCTTGTCAAGCTCTGCAATCTACCTTGCTGGACAAACCAGAGTACCCCATTGATGTATGCTGCTTGGGGTGGCAATTTGAAGCTTTGTGAATTATTACTGGAAGAAGGTGGAGCCGACCCAATGCATGCCGACAAGCTTGGCCAAAGTGCCCTGCATTGGGCTGCGGCTGCGGGGCATCTGAGCGTATGCCAATACTTGGCTGGAGAATGTGATCGTCAATTGCTTTCGTTAGCATCCGCACCAAAAGCGGAGCAGGATGCTTCATCTGCAAAAGATCAAATCGAAAGGCAGATCTTAGAACCAGACAATAGTGGCATGACACCTCTGGACTATGCAATGCAGCACGATCGTAAGGATGTCATCGAGTGGATGAAGAAATTGCTGTAGAAGCTGTTGACGCTGAATTGCCGCTCCATAGTATCTTTAGGTAAATAACTTTTTAAACTACACCTTCCAATTTTAAACAAGTACAATTATTCAGTTCAGTTGAAAATGCAGTGCTCGGACAGAAAGAAATGTGAAACTATTAGCTTACTTGAAGTGGTGACATTAATATGACATGAACTCAACTATATCTCTGGAAGGACAACTTCCCAAGACGATCGTTCAAAAACAGATGCCGGTAGTTTTTCGGACTGTTGGGGATAATGCTTCTTCAGGTACTGGAAGGTCTTGAGGTTGGGCAATCGGACCATATCCGAGGACGCACCATTGACGGCTAGCATAATGTCATGGCAAAGGACAATGCTCTCGCCATAGTCATCTTGGGAGATTTCGGACTTGATCTTGTAGTAGCACTCGCCCTCCGCAATGGGGAGACCCGAAAAAAAGCAGAACTGAATGTAGAGGCGCCAAGAATCCGGCGCACGTACTTGATCGGGGAGGGTACGGTAGTCGCCAGGATATTTTTGATGCATCAGAACCAGCAGTTCGTCCGATGGTTCTGGAAGTACGGCCAACAAGTAATCCTTATCTAGCCGGCTGTTCACATCAAAGTCGTCATCGTCACCGTCCGAGACGGCAGATTCAGAAGTGGTCGTCGAGGTGGTCGAGCTGAAGCGAGACGAGGATCGTGACATCATACTCTTGACGAAAGAATGTTTTCGTTCCGGTTTGATCTCTTGCTTTGGCAATCCTAGGGCACTGGGCAAACAAAATACGACCAAGGTGCGCATGCCTTGCTTGACACATCCCGCATAGAATGGATTGTCTCCAACAATTAGCTTTCCCGAAAAGTAGCATCTACGGTTGCCACCACGAGCGTTTTGCTTGTTATGCTTGCCGACGGCATAGTAGGCCATGCGTCTTTGAGCGGGCACGGGTGCATGAACTCGGGCATAACTGGAACGCATGGTAAGTTCGGAAACCCCCCGACTAACTTCATGAGGGTTTGAATCGCTGACAATCAGTTCGTCCATAGGATGAAGGACTTCAGATGTTTCAGGGATACTGATTGCCTTCTCCTTGGTACTGCGCTTCTTGGTTCTTTTCTTTTTGAGTGGGATGGGTTCATCATCCTTCTTTTCCTCGCCCACAACGCTTGATCCTGATATCATTTTAGTCATCATCTCAGGAGCGCAGGCATTACCAAACGAGTGAAACATGGAAAAGTTCGAAGTCAATTCCTGCCGTGGTATTTCGTTGCTTTTATTACGGGGATAAATGCGAGTGCTGTTCTTCTTGGTATTGTCTTCAACATTGCCGACAGCTGTTGAATCTTCTTGGCATCCAAACAGTGTTTTAGCGAAGGAATCGTGCAAGGACCTAAGCTGTTCTTCCACTATGGAAGTGGGAGACGGGCTCTGTGGTTTCTTTATGTCTCCTCCTCTGGGAGGCGTTGTGAGGGCCAGTGCATTTGTTTCAGGCCCGCCTACGAACTGGATACCACCAAATCCCTCGTCGAAGTTATCATCGCCAGGAGTTATGCTATTGTTGCGTTTGCTTCCCTTGCTAGCTTTGCTACCTTTGCTATGTCGACTGCCTCTGCTTCGGCTGCTCTTGCTCCGAGTGCGGGTACTGGCGTCAACCATTTCTGGAAAATCCTTTGGTGGAACATAGATTCCAGCACCTAGCCATGAGCCTGTTGTGCTGCCAGTCATATGTCTGTCCTCCTCTTGATTGCTGATGCTGGCGGATGGAAACATTGCTGTTTTTGTAATCGATCCTTAGAATTCACTGCAACGAACTCAACAAAATCCCATTCAAAAGCAAGGATGATGAATTTCAAAAGATAGGTGCAATCCTGTGAACAGCGGTGGTCTGCGAAAACTTGGAATCCGAAAATGAGACCACAAAACGGTTATCAAGACTTAAATTTTTAGCGCGCCAAAACTTCCTAAGTATTTGTAGCCAGCCAGCTGTCTGATACCAGTCTGATGCCGAATACACATATATCATCGAGCCAGATATCTCACGACTTGTCAATGCCCGCTTGCCGTTGCTTGGAATCACATCTTGAGCAAAACACCAATGATACAATGTAGTTTGTGAAAGAGTAATAAAAAAAGCTCGTTAAATTTCTAAACAAACAATAAGCAATGTAGTGTCCAAGCAGTTCAAGGTCACTTTTTCATGGTCATGCTTATGTTCGATCAGATAAGCGCCTTTTGTTTGAAAGCTACCACGCTGCTATGATCCTGCTGCTGATCGCCTCGAACAATGTTGTAGGACGAACAACTAGATTATTCTATCTCCTCCCATGGGGCGCACAGAATAATCCCATTTAGATGTGCTGTATTTTACCTTTGATGGCCCTAGGACTACCCAACATCTTATAGTCATACTTATCAAGGGAGCTGTTACGCTTTGCAACAAAAAAAGATCCATCTCAAAAGTGATAAATAACATTAATTATACTAATAAATAACGTCGAAAGTCTCCATGACAACCATGTTTGATCCGAAAGCAGAATCAAATACAACAGAAACAGCGAAAGTCTTTCTGTCTCTTCCGAAAAGACATTTCTTGTTGTATGGTTAGGTGAAGGTAAAACACGCCTGCGACCTGGTGAAGCCTCTCGCTTCAGGCTTTCTTGTTGATAGATTAAGGTTGCCTGGTTTCCACTGATCAATTCATTCTAACCTTGCTCCATTATTCGCAAACGTCATTGCCCATAATTGCCTCCAAACCAAGTACTCCAACTTCTTGTTTTCCAGCATGTGACTATAATTAGGTCAGCACTGACTCCAACTTGTTGATTTTGGCTTTCGCTTCTTCTACTAGGACCTTGACCTTTTCGATTTGGCCCTCATTATCTTCCCCGTCCAATGTTTCCGGCAGCTTGGATGATGCCAAGTCCAAGTTGGCCTCGCCATCCACCACGTTGGCAATGGAAGCAATCTTTTCCTCAGCTTTGACTAGTTCTTCCCTTAACTCTTGATACTCTGCTTGTTGTTTGGCCTCGAGACGTTGTTTTAGCAGTATTTCCTGACCTTCTTTTTGCCTCGTTAATTCTCCATCCTCCTTTCGCTGCCGTTCTTCTTCGTCTCCTATTTTCTTTTGCTGTTCTTCTAGTTGCGCCTGCTGTTTGGACAAGGTCTGGTCGTCTTGTTTGCCTCGTAACGCCCCTTGTTGGGCCTTTTGATTTGCTTTTTGTCGCATGTTGAATACGATGAATGCACAGGTTGCTATGAAAAGGCAAACCAGGCAACCAACAATGCGACCGCATCGCTTTGTGCTGCGATCGGACTTATTTTTTCGGATTTGCATGATTCCTGCTGGATGCTATTAGAGTTTTTGAATGATTTGGTTTTCTCTCTCTAACGTCAATTCTTCACGGCTCTGTTTGGTACGAGTGTGTTTCTTGTTCTGGTGTACGTCAACTTCTGTATTGTCGATACGTTACAGTATTCAACGCAGTAGCTTACAATGGTGTGACCTTGCAATGAAGCAAACGTGAGAAGACAATAACAATTGTAAGTTGTGGCTGGAAGTCATTTTTCCAGCAGTGCGAAAAGTCGGACAGATTTTAGTCGGACATATCGTACGACTTACGGACTTTTCTGAAAATCAAACCAAACTCAACTCAATAATAACCAAAATTCCAAACATTTCATCAACGCAAACAGAAACGGTCCCACGAAACGGACTCCTCTAACACCTTCAATGCTCACGATTGTGGATGTCGACGGGAACCAATCGCCAAGACCGACGCGAATGGCAACCGCACTTTCAATGTGGCAGATCTAGACCCTAGCACGACAAATGCCATGTTAGATGCTTATTATGGCCGTTGCACGATCTTTTCCGACAAGGTCAAATCCATCCAGAAGCTTCGCCAACAGAAGAAACTCAGTAAGGATGACAAGGAACTGATCGACGCCAGGTGCACAGTTCTTATGCTTATTGCTGACAATGCAAGCGAACATGTGTTTCGCAAGGTGGTTCCGGAATCGGAAATGAAGTGTTGGTTGACCTACGCCGTCTCGGAAATGAAACGGATGGCCACTGATCCCAACTGGATGGCAACGGGAGATCTAGAAGAGTATGATGATCTTGCCACACTTCAGGTGTGTGGATGTATCTTCAACTATCCCATTCCTGTGGCTATTTGTTGCCTTTGCAAGCGACTTCTTTCGTGTCTTTGCCACTTTTATCAAGGCCCGGAAAGGTCGCAACAATCGGATGCCGTCACAATACATCTCGCTATTGGTTGTTCGCATTGTTTTCTCTGCATACAACATCGCGAGAATGAGATTTGATAGCAATTGGAACGAAGAGAAGGTTTTCAAGAAGTTTGAGTCTTCTGGAATCCTGGAACAGTTCCTCCGGTGCGCTACATTTGTCGACGACAATCGCGGTTTGGTCCAATTTCTCAATCAGCTCCAGTCTTGTGTAAACTTTCTGCATAAGAAGTTCGAGAAGGGCAAGCCATGTGGTGATGTTCTGATTGCTATTCTTGAAGGGAAAGACGGAAGTCGAGTGAAGCGGCCTGCTGTCTTGAACCAACTTGAGGCGATTTCCAGGGTTGTCGAAGCAATAAATATCTCCAAGAAGGAGAAGAAGACCAAGATGACGAAGATGTGTCGCCATTGCGGCAATTCAGATCCATCGGACGCTTTTCAAGATTCTCTAAAGTCATGTGCTCGATGCAAAAACGCCTGTTACTGTTCCAAAGAATGCCAAAGAGCTGACTGGAAGATTCACAAAACGACTTGTCTACCTGCGGCCCCAAAGCCGGAAATGAAACAGGTTGATAATATGGAACGAATTCTGTCAAACTTTGCTCGCAAGTACTACGTATTAATCATGGCCAAAATGGTCGAAGCGTGCAAGGGGACAGATTTGAAGAAGAAGGATGTACTCATTGAGCTCGACTACACTGCCAACAAGCATGGGATAGTTCCAGCTATGCAAGAGCCTCCAGTCTTTGCGATCGTACCTATACGGCACTACATTGATGGGTCCCGAACCAATTGGTTTGGGAGAGGTCATGACAATGACCCACAATTCCGTCAACAGATGATTGCTGTGATGCGAGACAACCTCCAAAAGATGAAATCGTGGCACCTAATGTTTTTTGTCAACTTTAATGGAACCACGACATGCGGTAAACTGGACATGTAAGTTTCCTTGAGGCAGCGCCATGTGTCTAGAATCTGATTCTGTTTTGGTTTCTAATTCTTCTTTGCGACCCCATTTTTGACTTTAATTTGCAGTGAACGAATGTATACTGGCGAGGTATTTGACGGCTTTCACAGTGCCATTGTCGACCGGGACTTGGGGCCTCTCAGGCGCATTATGCGTCCAGAGTATTTTGAATTTGTTCAAGGATTTATGCTGCTCAATTACGGGATTGGAGAAATGGGTGCAAACCAAACGGAGCGATTTTGGACCAAATTTGCATCTACCAAGTGATGAATGAATCAATGAATCAATCCACTGTTGGACGCCAGTGTCAGGAAGCTTGCGTTTGAATACATCACTGTTCTTTCTTGTAGTCTTTTTTTCTTTTTTAACGATCATGATATGCGATAGCAATTGTCATTTCTGCCGCCTCGTTCTTGTGATTTTAGCCACCATCGGAACGTCTCGATACCACTTCAATGAACCTCACATTCATGATGTACGACCATTATATATGCTTCATTATTATCACGGTAGTGTTGATGATATTCTCGTGTCCCGAGAGTGTTCGTAGATTGATTCGACCAAGCAACCAGTGTTCAATCTCATTTCAGGAATGGTCGTGTTGTTGTTCGACCTCTTGAGTGTGACAAGTTGGTTTGCTTCCACGACTTTTATGCAGCCACATAATTTCCAGGCAATCATCTTGCATCACATGGTGTTATGTATTTTTCCTGAACCTTCATTGATATCTTGTCAATGCATGATGAAGTGACGTTGATGTACTACGGTACAGTATCCTCGTTTGTAGATGTATTTTCGAATTTGGGTATCTTTCGATCAGAAAAAGGCGTTACTTCTCCGCGCCGGCACGCAATGACGTCAGTAGTGACACCCGGTACAAATATACGTGCGTTCCAATTGGAAGAATGTCGCACCATCCAATGATTGGTTGCGAATCTTTCAGCCGAAGGCTTTGACGATGGCAATTGGACAAAAGATTTCTATTCGAAACAACGGCTCTATCCCATCCGCATCAATCATATCTTTTCATCAATTCGATTAATCGATTGATTGCAATAGAAGCTCACTTTTCTTCCATTTCTCTCAAGTCACAGCCTCGCTCCCTACCTGCCTATCTGCCTATACCTTTTAGCGCACGTTAAAATATATCACAATGAAGCACTGCCTCGTTCTCGCTCCCTTTCTTCTTTCTTCCGCGGTTGCCTTTACCGCTGTCAACCAGCAATTCCAAGCCTTTGTGAAGGCACCAGGCAGCACTACTGCCTTGAAGGTTGCCAATTTCGATTACCACGGCACCAGTGACCGCATTGGAGAAGCCTACAAAGAATGGTGTCGTGTGTACAACAAGACTGATCAGTCAAGACTGGAGATCTTTGCCTACCACTTTTTGTTGGCCGAGAAGTTCTTTGGGCAAACTGGAGCTCCTATTAAGCTAAATGAATTCGCCGACTTGACTTCGGCCGAGTACATGGCCCTTCAAGAGAAAGGAAGCTTGCCACAGGTGGCACCACCTACCGAGGTGGTTGTCTCCGAAACTAAGGCATCCGACTACGCAGTTCCCGAACCCGTTGCACCAGCCAACTACGGAACTTCTGCAGCGTCTTATTTGGATGCTTTGAGTTCCCAAAGTCAAGCCTCCAACACTCTTTCTGGTGCTGGTATGACTTCCTACTTGGACACTGTTCCCACGAATGGATCCATTTTGGGAGGCTCTGGCATGACTTCCTATTTGGATACCGTGTCGGGGGCTGCACCTTTGTCCAACGCCTATGCTACCGGTACTTCTTCACCACCACCTGCTCCAGCCGCATATGTTGCCCCCGCGCCCTATGTTCCTCCTCCTGCAGCCGCGGCACCACCAGCCCCAGCAGCTCCTTCCACTCCCGTAGCCAGTTCTGGGAACTACATGGACAATTTGTCGTCTGCTTCCTCGACTACACGTGGAGCTGGCATTAAATCTTATTTGGATTCCGTCCCCGCCAACGCGGCTGTCCGTGGTTCTGGCATGACTTCCTACTTGGATTCGGTCGCTGGCAGCACTTATACTCCTTTTCAAGCCCCAGCAGCAGCGGCAGCTCCTCAGCCATATGTTCCACCACCTGCTCAACCATATGTTCCACCTCCTGCGCCAGCTGCTGAAGTTGCCCAGCCCGTTGCTCCTCCACCAGCACCGGCCCAACCCTACGTTCCTGCCGAATCCAACACCGTTGCTTCTCGTGGTGGAAACTACATGGACAACCTTTCGACTTCTGCCGGTTCTACTACTCCTCGAGGAGCTGGTATTTCCAGTTATTTGGATACTGTCTCCAGCAATTCTGCCCGTCAAGGTGGTGTTGGTATGACTTCCTATTTGAACAATATGGGAAAAGCTTCTGACTTTGCAACTATCGAGACTACTGGTACACCTGTAGCTCCCTATGTTCCTCCACCACCAGCTACTACCCCACCACCGGCTGCTGCTGTTCCCCAACCAGTTCAACAGGCTGCTGCTGCTCCCCAACCAGTCCAACAGCCGGTTGCTCCAGCTGCTCCAGTCGCACCTTTGGTGGTTCCCCAAAGGTCTCCTTCTTATGTTCCACCTCGCCAATCGAGGAACGTTCCCGGTGGTCACTGGATGGATACCGTGACTCCCATCAGCTCGTATGGATCTCACGGAGTCAATGGCGAATGGGATGACAGCAACTACCAAGCTGCCAATGATCGTTACAACCGCCGTCGAGCTGCCAAAAACTACCAACAGGCACAGGCCGCAGCCTACACGGTTGGACAACAATATCAAAAGCAGCCTTCCTACAAGGAAGAGTCGTCCTCGTCCTCTTCGTCTCAAGAACCCATTGAACCCTTGGCCGAGCGTGTGCAACGTCGTCAAAAGCGTCAAATAGAGACTTTTGGAGGAGGTTTCATTATTTCTTAAAATTTATTCAAGCGCAGTGCAGCACACTGGATGGGCGCAAAAAGTGCATTGCTGACGACTGTCTTCATCATCATGACCCCACACCGACGAAATGACTGCTTCACTCCAAAAAAGCAGTGTTAACCTTGTGTGGGCGTCGTCTTTCCAAAACAACGCAACTACTCATTCGACTCGATCATACAAAAATAACACACGATGTCACGTCACGCATACTACTACTCTTTTAGTTTATCCTTGCTCATTAGTATTCGTTTTGCAGCATGATTATGCATAGACTTGGTCAAATGGTGACCAAGAGTTTACAAATCCAATAATGCATCTTTCTGCTGCACTTTTTCTACCACTACTACTACTACTACTACCACTACTACTACTACTACTACTACTAACCTATGGGCCCAAATTGGAGTATGGTGATACATTCCTTGTTCGCTTCCACCTATTCTCGTGTTGCATGGCGTTGAGAAAGGTTGGGGGGATTTGGGAATCATTTTTTTTCAGGGTTGGTGATGAGCTTTCTTCCGACTCATGATGGCTGTTGTGCTGCTCAGAAGAAGACTCATTATCACCATGGTTAATGTACTCAACGTACACTCCATTGCCAATCTGCTTGACAACCGATGATGGTAGAACTCGACCACCGTTTGGAGTGGAATGATTCAAGGGCTCGATGCAGTGGTTATTTCCAGAACGTGGATTGCAATCGGCAAATTCACCCAAGTGGAAATCTTCCTCCAAGTTGTTCGCTGATTCATAGACGGCATGGAGAAGATTCTGTTTAAAGTCTTCAAACTTGTTAGGATCTTGCTGTTTGTTGTACTCTTGGCACCAACTATGATAGGCTTCGAGCAATAACATTTCTCGTCGATGCTCTTCTTGTGTCAGATCTCCATATTGATTCAGACGAAAGAAAGGAAGCCCACCGTGGCCTTCTTCGGCTTCCGCCAATAAATCCAAATAGTTTCGTTGGAAGGCTCTAAAATGGACCGGATCTGGTTGCTTGTTGTGCAACTCAGCCCACTTGCGATATTCGGAAGCAATGTGTTCCTCCATACCATAGGCATCCGGTTCGCTGACCACCTCGCCGTGGTTCCAGGGTATCCAATCGTCGTTGGAGGAAGTCACCAAAGGTTCGGACGACTTGATATCATCCAAGGAAACAATTACTCTGGATTTTCCAGGGGACCAACTAGACACCAGACTGGGAAAGCATATCAACGAGAGAAGACAACCCGCCAAATTCATCATGGCAAGTACTTTAGGATGATGGCGGCAACGTTGGATGGTATCACTACCTTACAGCGATGATGGTTCTAGTACTTGAAATGAGTTCAGTATCTTTTTCTGATGGATGATGGTCGCAAAACGTCAGTAAAGCGAGTCTACCAATAGTCAAAAAACTCTTTGTCAGCAGCGAGTTTACCAATAGTCCAAAAACTCTTTGCGCGACCACCCTGAAATCATCTGCTTCAAATGTCTGGACCAGAATGAGAAGACTTTTTTCAAATCCATCACGACCATGGACGCAGGATGGATACCAAAACTAAGGCAAAGGAGAAGGATCAAAATGTATAGATCGTTCGTGGTATTCCTTTTTCTCGCTTCAGAATCCAATGGATTCTTCTTTCCAGCAGGGCTACACGTGCAGCAGACTGAGTCATCAATAATAAGGAGACGGCTTTCAAGTCTATCAAAGTCGATTCGCCACGGAGAAGAAGAAGACTCGGATGGGGTTTCTGAACGGCTTCGGTCCGCATACGAAGATTGGTGTCAGACATATGAGGAAACCTTTAGTTCGTCTAGACTGGAAGTATTCTCGTATCATTTTATGATGGCAGAGAACTATAGCAAACGGACAGGAGTCAAGGTCAAGCTGAACGAATTTGCGGGATTGACCGAGCCAGAGATCGAGGAGATCCTGGCCATTATTGGCAAGGCAAGCGACGGAATTGAGAGACCACTGGGGGTAGAGTTTCTTGACTACGAATTCGAAGAAGAAGAACCATCGAGTCTAGTTCCTAATACTTTTACGGATACCATGGAACCACCTTCCGACATTTCAGACCAGAATCATGCCTTTGGATCCAATGATGCAGACGATAGGATCGCGACAGCAACCAATACCTACTTGGAGACAATGGATAAAGCCTCAATAGTTCCACCAACAGGATCGAACCTATTCAAAGAAATCAGTGCATCGATATTGAACAAGGAAGAATCAAGAAACAATGGCGACAGCACAAACGAAGAACCTGATCATGAAAAAGTGCCACCGTCATTGGATCCAATCTATGTCGAAGCAACTTACGAGGAAACTCAAATCCAAGACAACGTGTCATCAGAGACAGTTCCTAATTTCAGCGTTGTCGGAGATAATCCCACAGGAATCAATGCTAAGATGGAAGAAGAATTCGATACAGACGAAGCCTTTTATTTAGGACAACAACGACAAGGCAGCGTTCCTCCCAGCAGCAATCAACATCATCAACATCATCCACAGCAACCACCATCACCGAGTACTACTAGGCCAAATAAGACTGAATCACCAGCCGCCACATCCATGGCACGAGAAGCTGCCAACCAAGCCAATATTGATCTTTCACTCATTCCAGGCACTGGGAAGAACGGAATAATAACACTGCACGATGTGGAATTGGCACGAGATTCGGCCATCGAAGTCGAATATCAATCCTATACCTCGGAGGAGAGGATACGAAATGGACCATTCCGACATGAACAAGACTTATTCATGGATACTCCTTTTGATGATGGTGAATCATCATTTGACCCAGAGACATCCATGGATCATGATGCTACTGCCAATGTCAATGGCTTGCAACAAGAACAGCAACCTGCAAATGGAATGGGATACATGCAGCAGGGTCCCGATGATTCTTCTTCACAAGACATGTTTTACCAAAATCGACAGACTGACGAAATGTTTCAAGAAGATCCAACCGCTCAATATGATATGCACGCAGATAAGTTTAGAGATGAGCACCCATATCATCCAGCAGATTCCCATGAACTTGACCAGCATCAGTACGGAGATTCAGATGATGACAAGTTCCGACAAGAACTGCAAGATCATTCAAATCATCAATCTGAGTCTGACATTATGGATACTAGTGACTTGAGTTATGGTCCAACAGAGGAGCTGACTGAAAATGTCATTGGAAATGAAGAACCATCGTTTTCATCGGACCATTCTTTCCTTGGAGTGGATCCCTTGGATGAAAGAATCGATCGTGCTATCCATGGTGACGAATTTGAATTTGTGTCCCAACAGCAGTATCCTCAAGTCGAGGACGACTTTATCGTTGAGCAACTTATTGAGAAAATTACCTCGGAGGATGGTCCTATTGGCTTGCACGATCTTGGTAATACGGTACCTCATGACAAAGAAGAAGACATTTACCAATCAGAAGACTCACTGGAACATCATAACGAAGTACTTGCCGAATTTCCAGACTTGGAAGACGCCCAAGCGCTAGAGAGTGAGCGGAGGATGGAAGGTGAACTACATTCAGGTAACGAGGCAAAGCTACCTCGAGAAGATGAAGCAAGTGCTGAGGAAGAAATGATGTCCACTGGTTGGATAGCAGAGGAACCGGAAAAAGAACACTATGATCTTCCTGACTGGGTCGTTGGAAATGCCGAACCACTTGTTCCTCCACACTTGTCAGGTGCTGAAATGGTGACGGGGAACTATCATATGGATACGGGGAACTATCATATGGATACGGGGGCACCCAAAGAAGAGAAAATGAAATATTCGACAACGAATATGTCTTCGCCATTAGATAATACCAACAGATCACTACAAAGCCAAAGTCAAGGTCAAATGGCATCGGCTCAAAAGGCGCCAACGAGAAAAGTACGACGTGTTGCCTCGCCCAAGGCTCCTAGTGAATCTTGGGTGTTTTTGGATTCTGTGACCACTGAAGTTGTGGCAGGTGACCAAGTCACGTTGCAAGAGCTGACCTTTTGGATGAGTGAAGCGAAGGTTCAGAAATGGTGCAAAAAGGTTGGCGACCCTGTACACGTGGGGGAAACTTTGATGACAGTGGCTTGCGATACCAAGATCTCAAAGGAAAGTCTGGAGTGGGCTCCAACTCAGGATGTCAAGGCTACCAGCAACGGTTTCCTTGTTGCAAAACACTTTGGAGTAGGGGAAATGATGTCTATTGGCTGGACAGTTGGTGTCATTGGTACTTCGACTGAGGGGTTGCCGACTGTGGCTCCCGAGCCAGTCATAACCTACGAAGATGAGGAAGTCTCAAAAGCATTTGACGAGCCAAAGGAAAAGCCCAAGGATGTGAAATTATCAAATCCCAGTCAAAGGAGAAATGCGATCTCAAACGAAGGTTCTTCGGAATCAAGAATAGAGACGGAGCATGATAGCACACCGCGGACGGCCGCGACCAAAAGAAAATCGCCTACTGCGAAAAACGTTGAGAAAGGGAAAAAGCAAGAATCGTCTATTAAGCCTGCAATGAAGTCATCGCTATCGATCGATTGGGAGCCCAGGCTTGTGAAGATGGAAGGCCTGAACCATGTCCTCGTCCCTTTTCTTCAAAAGAAGATTGACACTTGGGAGCGCAATGCCAGGTTTCATTTGCCAGCCACCAGTTCGCTGGACCAAGAAGTCTTGACATCCCAGAAGACCAAGATGACCATTCGTTGGGAGCCACAATTGAAGGACAGCGGAAGGAAGAAGTCTCGTGCTAAAAAGAGGAAAATGCTAAATAGTCAACACAGTTTCGCCAGGCTACCAGCAGTGTCTTGGGAGTTTGAAAAGTCGCAGATTCCAGCCAAGTCGAGCCCGGCAAAGGAGAAGAGAATGAGACAAATCTTCTTTTTCGAACCTACAGAAGGAGTAGCAAGAAAAGCAAGGAATGAAAACGGTCGCAAAAGGCTTGGCGGTAAGACTCAATGGGCTTCCTTTCCAACAATGATCAAGTGGGAGAATATGACCCACCCATTGCCGAAAAGGCAATATCCGCAAAAGCCCGATGCAAACGACGACCAGACAGAAAACAATGAGACGGACATTCCTCAAAAGATGGTTTACGCCACTCCCATGGCCCGCGCCGCGGCTCGGTTGGCCGATCTCGATCTGCAAGGTGTCTCTGGCACTGGCGACGGAGGTCGCATCACTCTTGACGATGTCAAGGATGTCCTATACCCAATGCTAATAATGAATAAGCAAGAACAGCAGCATCAGCAGCACCACCAAAAAGGTCGATTGCAATCCAGTCACGAATCATCCAAAGCAAAGAGAGCGCCACCGGCATCCTCCCCATTGCAATCTACCAAGAAATCATCACTGGGACAAGTTTACTCTTTGCGGATTCCATATGCGTCCCCAATGGCGAGAAAGCTGGCGGAAGAATATCAAATTGACCTGGCCACAGTCATGGCAAGTGGCCCACGGGGTCGCATCCTCTTGGATGACGTCCAAAAAGCCTTGGATGATAAAACGACACCATGAATTTTTTAAAATCGATATCATCCTATGACACTTTTCTTGGAGACAAAGTCATAACCGAGAATTTTTAAATGTGTCTGTAATTTGAAATTATACTTTAAAGATTATACTTCAAAGCAGCGTGGCACCGCCCAGTCTACTTTCCTGCTGTAGGAGCCGCAAAGAAGGAGCGAATGTCGATTTGCTTGCGCCCATCGTGCGGTGGAGATGACGACGAGTCCGTTTGCTTTCTCCTTTTAGCCGGAGGAGAAGGTGATAGGATGGGTACCTTTTCGTTTTGTTTCTCTTGTGTTTTTCAAAGCCTCAGACGTGTACACGGGCGCGTTGCAAATATTGTGTAGCTCACTGTATCTCTCGTGTCCCTTCCCTGATTGTGAACTGACATGATGGTCCCTTTCTTTCATTGTTTTATTTGCAGCCCGTTTCTTGTCACGCAGTTCCTTTTTTTCTGCAAAGTGTTCCCAATACCAGTTTCCAGACCATTCATTTGGTCCTACCTGAAAAAATCCATAATCTCGACACCACTGTGGTGATTTACCTTCGTAGGTTCCATCGGGGCGATAAAAATCAATATCCTTTCCTTCCTCGCGTGTTGCGTATATCTATCCCAATTCCGTCGTCTCCGATGGTTTCTATAGCCATAATCATGATCTCCGTTGCTATGCCAATCACGATGGTTGCGTGTTATATTGTACAACAAGATCTGAAATCTGGTAGCTCTCGCGTCGTCCGCATTTCGTTGGCATTTTTTTGTTCGTTGGCTTTTATTATTGTTATGGCGCGCAAAATACGATTGCCGACTCTTCCGAATGAGATGAAGAGGTTTGGATATTTTACATGTAAACAAGGTCATCGTTTGACATTAGCAAGAGATATTCATGATCCGAACAATAAAACCTCTATATTTTTATGCTTCAAGGGCGGGGCTAGTAGCGTTGTAGCGTGCTATCGCCTAGCCTGGCCTACCTTCCTGTTGCAGGAGCAAAGAAGGATCGAATGTCCGTTTGCTTGCATTGAACCGGTGGAGGAGATGAGGGGTTTGGGACAAATATTGGCCCATTCGTTGTTTGACAGATGCCGTATTGCTCACGGTATCTTTCGTGTCCTTTCCCTTGGTGAAATCTGACATGATAGTCTCGTTCTTCAATCGAATAAAACTGCTCGCTGCATCCTTGGAGTAGACATAAATGATTGCAATCCGAGCGCCGAGGCATGAGAAAATCATCCATGTCCCTCCCATCGCGTTCCAAAGCAAGTAACTCTTCTATTTCCCTCCTTTCGTATTCCAAAGCGCGTTCCTCTGCGGCTTCCATCTCCACCGCCCATTTTTCTTTTTCCCGCTGTATTTCAACCCGCTCTTTCTCCCACTGCTCTTTTCTCTCTGGAAACTGTTCGTAATACCATTTTCCAGACCATTCAGTTTCTCCGACCTGAAAAAACCCATGATCTCGACACCACTGTGGTGATTTGCATTCGTAGGTTCCATCGGGACGATAAAAGTCAATATCATCTTCTTCCTCGACATCGTCGTGCCAATTATCCCAAGCACGTCGTGCACCAAACTTGTCTCTATAGTCATAGTCATCGCCTCCATGATCATAATCATCACTGTCCAAATCACATCGTACACCCATTACACGCAGATCATGTTTCAGTTGGTCTAAAAGAGCATCATCGGCAGATTGGTACGAATCTTTTCCTCTTGTGCTGATCGGTGGCTGTACACCCAGATTGTCCAAAAAGTCAAAACCCGATCGAAACGCGTCGTTTCCTCTTGTGCTCGTCGGAGGCATGAAGCCCATTAGCTCTTCAATTGTTGGGTAGATATTGTGTTGCTCGCGATATCTTGCGTGTCCATTTCCTGGGTGAGACCTGACATGATGATCTCTTTCTTCAATCGATGGAAAATGCTCGTTGCATCCTTTGAGTAGACATTTGTGTAAGCGCGGTGGGAGCAAACCATCTAAGTCCCTCCTTTCGTTTTCAAAATCGCGTCGCTCCCAAGCTTCTTTTTCCTGCCGCCTCTTCTCTTTTGCTAGGTGCCTTGTTGCCCGATCTTTCTCACGATTTTCCAATTCTTCTGGAAAATGTTCCCAATACCACCTACCCGACCAGACACCTGGTGCTACCCTAAAAAATCCATTGTCTAGACACCACCGTGGTGCTTTGCCTTCGTAGCTTCCATCGGGACGATAAAATTGAACATCGCGATCCAAATAATCATCCTCTGCGTCGCTATCTGCGGCGTCGCTATCCCAATGATAGTCACCATAACGATCTGTATAGCCAAGATCCCGATACGAATTGTTCTGATAACTGATCCCATATCCTCGATGATTGGTGTAGGCTTTAGGTCGTTTACCCCGATAGTCCATGCTGTGCCCGTAATCATCGCTATCTTCGTCGCTATCTTCGTCGGTATCCGGATCACGTTGTAATTGTTCATACAGATCGTCCAAAAAACCTAAGCTAGACATGGTTTCTCCTCAATGGTTCTTTTGAATATATGGTTGCAGGTACATTGCATGGATTGCAGTATTTGCAACAAGATCGGAAATATATATCCGCCACTCGTTGGTTGGCATTTTTGCGGTTGGCGCGCAAACTGTTACACTTCGACTACTCCGAATGAGTAACGAGTAAGTTCAAAGTGAAAGCCCCGCTTCCATCTGCAGCGCCCGTGCGGTTCCCCTTGCGCCCATTTCTATTGGTCTTGCCGTACTGTATGTGGTAGTATCAAGAGTATAGGTGGTATTGCAAACCGCTCGTCGCGTTCTTCCACGGTTCCTGGTTCCTTTCGTTTTGGTAAGTATCAATAAGAACGTCCAGCTCAACGTCACCATGTTCTTCGTCCTCCTCACTACTATCATGATCATCATCGTCTTCATGTCCTTCCTTCATCCCAATCTATATAGCGATAGTCATCTCCATGGCCATATTGATCTCTGTAGCCAGAGCAATTGCGATAAGGGTTCCAATAGCGAGACGTCATGGTTTCTTCTGAATGAATCGCTATGTATAGATACCGGTAGTTGCAACAAAATCTGAACATTGATCTGAATACCGGCAGCTCTCTCCTAGCCTAATATCACACGTCATTTTTTGGTGACTCCAATCCGACTGACTCCTCCGAATGAGTCGTCGAATTTGAATTGCACGCGCCCCGCAAAACACCGCGTCGGCACCGCTGCCGTTTGTACGAAATCGTATAGAATTTTGAAAACGGTCGGACTGGAAATCGCCAAGTCGGCCCCTCCGCCTCCATAGGAAAGAGATTTGCATGTAAATTTGAGTTGCACTCCAACATACAGTATACAGCAGCATACCTATTGATACTTGTAGTATACTAGGAGTGGCGGTGCTTTCTCTTTCTTCCATCGCGTGTTCAAAAATACACCACTCCAGAAAACGTTGCACCTCTCGGAGAAGTTTCGCTTGGAGTTTGACTTGAGTCTTGCGAGATTGTAGGAAAAGCAAAACGCAAGGAATAGATTTGATTGATTGATTGATTGATTGACTGTTTGATCAATTCGTTGAGTCGTCATCGTCCAAGCCATCTACCTATCTTTTTGCCTTTTTTTTCTCTCCTGAAAGTTAAACGTAACAAACGAACAAGCAAACAAAACAACAACACCCCGTAATTAGAATAATACCAGCAACATGGGAAATCAACCTTCCAGCAGCCGTCGTGGTAGCAAACGCCGAAAATCCAAGACCACGAGTGCGGCCCAAGAGGCCCGGGATGCCCTGGTGACACTCCAAGAAGGCATTTCCGCCGCTGCCAAGAACTTGGACGAAAGTGGAGCGGCTTCTCAATTGATTGATTCCGTTTGTGGAGGAGATTACTACGATGAGAATACCAGAAGTAGTGGTAGACGTAGCCGAAGGCCTCGTCGGAATCGTTCGTACAGTGACAGTGAAGATGATGCGACATATGATGAAGAAGGAACCTATGACGATGATACTTATACTGATGGATCACGGACATATGATTCTTCGGTGCGAAACCGTCGGGACAGAGAGGATGACGGCACGGTTGGAAGTAATTCGTATATTACCGAGTACACGGAGGAGGATGACTCCAAACGTCGAAAAGGCCGACGACCTTCATCCTATGACAGTGACAATGACGATGATTCGAGATCAAAAGAAGGCGCCAATCCCACACGTGGAGCGCAGCCTCTTGCCAGTTCCTTTGCCAAACGGTGTTACTTTACCAAAGCTGGTATTGGAAAGACTTCGCAACACTACGAAGGTCTTACTCTGACTGGTAATGTTGTACTGATGTTGTCTTCTGCCATGAAATTGAAGGGTTGCCCTACGATTTGCGATGAAGATTTGAGGAGAGTGGAACAGACGTATCCAAATCAATTCAGTCGTCTTCCCGATGAGTTGTTGCTGAGTAGTGGATGGAGAAGAATCAGCAAGTACTGTCACTTTTCCAAGAAGCCAATTCCTGATGGCGTTCCATTCTTTCGTAAGTATTTCCAAGAGTTGCTCTGCATTGCACAAAAAAGCATGTTTCTCATTCGTGTGTCATTTCTATATACGCCACAGATTCCAAGAAACGATTGCATCACTCGGGTGGATACTTTTTCCTACTGGCAAGTTCCGTTGGAATGATCCGACCATGTGATGTCGAACCACTTACCAAGGATACATTGGTTCTGTTGGAAACCGATTTTCCAAACCAATGCGATGCTGCACCCCAAACTCTTGTCGAGGATCCCAATGCTTGGACTTTGGTCAACAAGTTCTGCTTCTTTTCGGGAGGACCCATCAATACCGAAGAAGATGTCTATTATCAAGCTGACTTCGATGGTAATCCAATCTTTATGCTGGCCTTTTTATCACCGTCTCTTACTCCCGACGAACTCTACAAGATCAACAGCACCATGGGTGAAACAGGCCTCAAGACTATGAAGGAAATTGAAGAAGTCGAATCCATTTATGATTTGACGGATCGTGACTTTGATGATCTCAAGCTATATCACCTGGGCCCCTGCAGAGCTTTGGCTCAATACATTCTTCAGCCAACTGCATGGACCAAGGTGCTACCGCCTCATTTCAACGCTGCCCGCAATATTGCTATTTCTCGTGCGCAACAGTGGCAAGCGGAACACGGCCAAAAAGATTCCACTGATCATAGGCTGAAACCAACCTTGGACAATGTGGCCGCTCAAAATTTGGACATGGATGCTCCTGATCCAGATGACCCAATAGTGTCCCCGACATCCCCATTTTTGCCGGATGGTCGGTTCTTCAACAAGGAACCATCTCCTACCGTTCCTACTACTCCAGTTTCCAACTCGTTTAGGGAAGATGAAAAGAAGTCGGAAGATGAGGTCGAGCATAAGACGCATAACGAACATGGCAACGCGGAGAAGGAAGTGGAGGAGAAAGTTGTTGAGCAAAAGGAAACACCTTCTGCGCCAGCGCCTCTGGACACATCCATCGAGTCTATCAAGAGCGGAGAAGGTGACTTTATACCTATCAAACGCGAGGGATACACGTTGGGAAACACTCCCACTAGCAATCCCGCCAGTCCCGTGTCAACTGGAAGTGCAAGTTCCGCAGCCATGCGTGGTGCAAAAGAGCTCATTCGAAAAAAGAGAGCCCAGCGAATGGAAGTGTAAGTTACAAACGATTTGAGTTTCGTTATGAAAATCCATTCGGCAGATCCCACTCACTCAATTTTCTTTTCTTTTATTTCTTGACCAACAGTTCGAAACGACAATCAGGTTCTCAGCCTTCGTCACCAACAGACGAACGGGATGGCTCGTCGTCCTCTCCTGCCAGCAAGAATTCTTTTGGGGATATTGGTCCCCAAGACTCTTCCTTTAGTGAAGAATCACAGATTGACAAGAACTCGAGAAGGGCCATGATTGTCAAAATGGCAAAGGCCCGAATCTCCAACAACACACCAGTTGCTAGCGATGAAGTATCGGGAACCTCTTCCTATCCATCCGTCAAACAAGGCAACAGTGATGGCAGTTGGGACATTGCGGGTGACTTGGACTAGCTTGATTTGAAGGAAAAATACCTCTTATCATCCATCCATCCATCCATCCATCCATCCATCCATCAGCATAGGCATATCCTACGCTGTTTCAGTTTTAACAAAAAGAATAGTAACTAAGAAGTAAATTTGTGTGAAAGATGTCAAGAGTCAGTCAGTCAAACTTTTGCAAGGTTCTGGATATTGGGCCGTAGTGGTTGGTTTCAATCATGTGCATACACTTTTTCAGTTTATTGAATGAATAGTAATACATGAAGTGCTATATAATTTTACATGAAAGATGTCAAAGTCAAACTTTTGTAAGATTGTGGATATTGTGACGTTGTGGAAACTGCTCTGGAAAATTTTTCCATAGTTGGGAGTAAACCGTTGCTTGGTGTCTGATGGTTTAGTGAAGGTTGGAGGGAAGCAGTCCGTAAGCATTCCAAGGCAAAGTAGTCCTGAAAGTGACGCACAGTCATCGAGAACGAGTTGTTGGAAAGTGCATTGTTGCTGTTGTTGTTGGGCAAGTTTCCATTGGACTGCTTGGATGTGAGGCTGGGTGCCATGTTTATCGGACAAAAACTGGAGTTCGGTTCGAGTGGAGGAGGGCTTGATGTTGGACTGATGACCTTGCACATAGTGGCTTGTTCTTGAGATCTTGGAGAAGAGGGACGAAAAGAACCAGACACTTGAAGTGGTTCCAACTCTCCTGTTGGCTTGAGAATCACTTTCTTGTGTTTCATTTCCTTCTTCACTCGAACACGTTCCATCTGATTGCATTCGTCTGGCTTTCCTCGAATGAAATGAGGATGGAAGGCGGCACCCCTATCAGGGTCTCTGGTGAGTGTCTGAAAGCCCCAAAGATTCAAGTTTCGTTGAAATGTCTTGAACTTGTTGGAGCTAAAGTACTTTGGCATGACTTCTTCTGCAAAGGCATCCTTATCATGGACTTTGAAACCAAGTCCATTCGGCAGCCATGAGATGATTGCGTCATGTCCGCAGGTTTCAGTTTCCTCCAGGATAGCATGCAGTTTCCAAGGGAACTGTACCTTTTGAGAGTTATCTAAAGCTTCGTTGTGATTTCTCATTGTATTTTACTTTTTCTCTTTTCTTTTTTGTGTGCTTGTCTCTGTTGAAGATGATTGTGGAGTTCCGTGGTTCGAAGTGGGATTACCACGAGCGAACGAAAAGGACATCGTATTTGTTGGGGGGCTCTTAGTTTGTGGGCGAACGAGCCACATCTTCAACTACAATTTCGCGTCAGCACAAAATAGGAACAAGTATATTTATATTGCATTGGCCATCCGCAGAAGGGGCTATGTCAATTTAAGTGCAAATAGGCCCAAGGCGCTAACAACAACGAGGACAGCTGAGAAACGAGCTGTCAATTCCACTTTTCGCGTCAACCCATTCATGATCTATTTTTAAAAAAAAAGATATTTTTTTAAAACGTGGAAGAACCCCGTCAGTCGAAGTGCAACGTTGCGACGCAATACCGAAAGCAACAACCAGAACCGGAAAAAGCTGGCGACGGAGCATCGGTAGGTTCTTTGGTTCTTCCCATCAATCTGCTACATACAGTTTTGAATGAAGACTATTATCATAAGGAGAACAGTTGTTGTAGTACACGGTTTCAGTTTCAAAAAAATTATCGTCTTCTGTAATACCGGTAGTTGTCAAAGTCAAACTTTTGTAAGATTGTGGATACAGTGACGTTGCTGAAAATATCTCTAGCCGCCCTGGTATGCAGACATTTCAATAGATGATGGGTAGACCGTCGTTGCCGGCTTGGTGCAACGAGGCCGCCCGTAGGCACTCCAAAGCAAACTGGTACTCCTGAAAGCGTCGCACGTTCAGCGATAAGGAGTTGCTTGGATACCACATTGCTATCGGAGAAGCTTCCGCCACACTGCTGGAGTCCGAGATCAAGTTGCATGGTTTCCGGAAATCAAGTGCGTCCGAGTAGTTTCGCACATTTAGCAACGCAAAGGGAGAGTTGTTGGATAGTGTGCGTTTCATGTTTTTCGAAGCCATAATTGTGCCCACTTCCAACGGAGGAGCTGATGTCACACTGATGACCTTAGCCGTATTGACGCGTTGAGATCTTGTTGGGAAAGCGGGAAGAAAGGAAGCATGCGAAGATGACTGCGATGAGGATGACCACAGTGGCTCCAACTCTCCTGTTGGCGTAAGAATCACTTTCTTGTGTTTCATTTCCTTCTTCACTCGAACGCGTTCCATCTGACTGCATTCGTCTGGCTTTCCTCGGATGAAATGAGGATGAAAGGCGGCACCCCTATCAGGGTCTCTGGTGAGTGTCTGAAACCCCCAAAGATTCAAGTTTCGTTGAAACGCCTTGAACTTGTTGGTTCTAAAGTACTTCGGCATGACCTGTTCTTCAAAGGCATCCTTATCATGGACTTTGAAACCAAGTCCATTTGGCAGCCATGAGATTATTGCATGATGGTCAAAGGCTTCAGTTTCCTCTAGAATAGCATGCAGCTTCAAAGGGAATTGGGGCTTTTGATAATTACTTTGTTGCACGAGCGTTTCGTTGGGATTTCGCATGGTAGTCTATTGCTTTGTGGGGGTTGTTTCTGCTGAAGAATATATTGTATCCAGTCGGTATTATGTACGGTACCGATACCGGTAGAATAGCAAAGCATTAAAAAAGTGAAGAAAAGAACGTGAAAACCGTATAATGGGATCTATTTGGTGGCGAACGAGAGCGAACCGCCTTCAGTTGCAAGCAGATCTTAGCGTCAGCTCCCTCTGAATGAACAAGTGCAATAGCTGGCGAAGCATGGAGAACCGGGATGTCGACTGTTGGACTTCTTCCCATCCATCACTCATATTATGGAAACAGTGATGGCAGTTGCGTCACAGCTGGTACCTTGGACTAGTGGTAGATTTGGGCGCTATCCTACATGTATGCACAGTTTCGATCAAACGATACGAGTATATGCGTACAACGTTTCAGTTTCTAAAAAATAGTACTATAATATAAATATATTGTATCATGAAAATGTCAAAGTCAAACTTTTGTAAGATTGTCTCGAACCATTAGGATAAGGAAAGAAGCTCAATATTCTATGAGAGATGAACCGCTGTTGCCAGCCCAGAATAGGGTGGCACGTGTGGACACAACCCGTAGGCACTCCAAGGCAAAGTAGTCCTGCAAGGCTTGCACGTTCAGTGACACGGAGTTCTTGGATACCGCATTGCAATCGGGCAAGCAGCCTCGATAGCGCTGCTGAAATGAGAGATCAAGTCGCACGCTTCGTTCTGGAGACACAGGAGTATCCGAGTAGTTTTGCAGGTTCAAAGGGAAGGAGGACTTGTTTGATACTGCGTTCCTGTTATGCAAGCTTACTTTGCGCGGCAGTGAGAGACTGGGTGGAATGCATTTCGGAGAAACACCCGGTTCTAGTGGAGGAGTGGATGTCACACTGATGACCTTAGCCGTATTGACGCGTTGAGATCTTGTTGGGAAAGCGGGAAGAAAGGAAGCATGCGAAGATGACTGCGATGAGGATGACCACAGTGGCTCCAACTCTCCTGTTGGCGTAAGAATCACTTTCTTGTGTTTCATTTCCTTCTTCACTCGAACGCGTTCCATCTGACTGCATTCGTCTGGCTTTCCTCGGATGAAATGAGGATGAAAGGCGGCACCCCTATCAGGGTCTCTGGTGAGTGTCTGAAACCCCCAAAGATTCAAGTTTCGTTGAAACGCCTTGAACTTGTTGGTTCTAAAGTACTTCGGCATGACCTGTTCTTCAAAGGCATCCTTATCATGGACTTTGAAACCAAGTCCATTTGGCAGCCATGAGATTATTGCATGATGGTCAAAGGCTTCAGTTTCCTCTAGAATAGCATGCAGCTTCAAAGGGAATTGGGGCTTTTGACAGCTACTGGCACCTTGTGCTGATATTTCGTTGGGGATCCTCATGGTATTCTGTTGTTTCGTGTGTTTTATTTATTTTGTGAGTTTCGGAATAAAAGAAAAAAGTAATCGAACAGATGAACGCTGTTTTTCATCCTCTTTGGTGGCGAACGAGGGCGATCCAACGTCAGCTTCAACTACAATTTTCACGTCAACACATTCAGGAAAAATTTTGTATTAAAAAATGTATTATCTATATAAAATACCACTTTCAATCTGGCCCGCGCTGTGTCACTCAAAGCACAAAGGCCGGAATGGCATTGTTTCAGTTGAAGATTTGATATCGTCACTTTCCATTCGGTATTTAGTATTTTTTTAAATTCTATTTTATTATAATAGCAACAAAGTTAAAAGAAAATGAACAGATCCCTGTTCTATCAGGCAACCTCTATGGTGGCGAGCGAATGTCAGCTTCAACTTCGATTTTTACGTCAACATATTCTGGAACAAGTGCATGCATCATTTGATGTGATACCCTTTTCCCCCTACCGGTATTATTGAGACCGTTCATCCGTACACGGGCTGGAAGGGCCTGTGTCAGTCAAAGCGAAAAGGCCTAAACGAATTTCCAACAAAATATACTGCATGTTGTATAGAACCTACAGTACCTAGCTGGCCATGGAGCATCGGGAGGTTCTGCTCGTCCTACATCCTTCATACAGGCAACAGTGATAGCAGTTCCCACAAAGCGGATGGTACTAGATTTGAAAAAGACTAGTAAATAGGCATTATGCAGTTGATGTGAAAGATGTCAAAGTCAAACTTTTGTAAGATTGTGGATACAATGTTGTTGAAAGTGTCTCGAACCACTAGGATAAAAGGAAAGATTTCAATATATGATGGATGAACCACTGCCTGCATGGTTCAGCGAGGCTGCCCGTAGGCACTCCAGGGCAATGTAATTCTGCAAGGTTTGCACGTTTAGGGAGAAGCAATTGCTGTTCGGTACCACGTTACTACTCTGTGAGAAGGAGTTGCTGGATGGCGAAAGGAAATTGGGCAGGCCTCCTGTGCACGGCTGGAGTGAGAGATCAAGTCTCATGGCCTTCGGAGACACAATGGTGTCGGAGAAGTCTTGTTGGTTTCGCAGGTTCAACGAGAACGAGTTGTTGTTGGACGCTTCGTTGCTGTGGGGCAAGCCTACTGATACTTTGCGAGGGAGTGAGAGACCAGGTGCCATGCATTTCGGAGACACAATGGTACCCGGCACCAGTGGAGGAGTTGATGTTGGACTGATGACCTTGATCGTTTTGAGTTGTGATGATTGCGATCTTGGTGAAGAAGGGGCAGCCGAAGGTGACTGTGATGGGGATGAACACAGTGGTTCCAGCTCTCCTGTTGGCTTGAGAATCACTTTCTTGTGTTTCATTTCCTTCTTCACTCGAACACGTTCCATCTGATTGCATTCGTCTGGCTTTCCTCGAATGAAATGAGGATGGAAGGCGGCACCTCTATCAGGGTCTCTGGTGAGTGTCTGAAAGCCCCAAAGATTCAAGTTTCGCTGAAATGTCTTGAACTTGTTGGAGCTAAAGTACTTTGGCATGACTTCTTCTGCAAAGGCATCCTTATCATGGACTTTGAAACCAAGTCCATTCGGCAGCCATGAGATGATTGCGTCATGTCCGCAGGTTTCAGTTTCCTCCAGGATAGCATGCAGTTTCCAAGGGAACTGTACCTTTTGAGAGTTATCTAAAGCTTCGTTGTGATTTCTCATTGTATTTTACTTTTTCTCTTTTCTTTTTTGTGTGCTTGTGATGATGATTGTGGAGTTTTCCATTCATTCGCCTGCGCGAAGTAGCTGGCACCGAGAGCCAAACGAAGAGAACGTATTTTTATCATTGGGCCCGAGAAAAGGAAACATTTAATTAACGAATCCATGTCAGCTTCAACTACAATTTTCACGTCAACACATTCAGGAACAAACGCTTATGACAGTTGTTGATCCCATTTTGCGTCGAGACTCATTATTCGTTTCAGATTTCCCCCGACATCGACGTCAGCCAAAGGTCCCGTTATTTTGAAACTTTCTCCGGGCCATCTATTCGTTTCGGAGGTGTGATTTCAATTGAGAGTGTTCGTCCGCTTTGGAAACTAAAGACCGCTTCAAGTTCAACTGTGCGGGACCCACGCAAGCGAACTTCAACTACACTGGAGAACTAATATTCTTCCTCTCGTCATCTGCATTGACGAGAATGCGACTATGGAACTTCTGCAAGACGTGGTAGGTTTTAAAAAGATGATTTTCTGGACAATCCTTTTAATTATCGACTTAAATATCGGTATGTTTTATGACCCACTGAATATTAGAACGGGAACCCGTTGCTGGTCTGGGATAGCACCTTTGTTCCTCAGACGAACAGATCGCCAGCTGGCGTAAAGTAGTGTTGTTAGGGGTGACGTCGAACTGCTTCAAGTTCACTTGAATATCGTTGAAATGTTTCATCTACCCAATGTCGCCTGCTGACGTAGAATGCTGTTGGGCTGACGTCGGACGGCTTCAAGTTTACTTCAATATCGTTATGTTTTATCTATCCACTAGAGCAAGAGTCCATCACCAATTGCTTGAAGCTCGAACGGGATCCTGATATAAGAATATTACATTGGTCCTGAACCTTTTGCAAGCTGACATGCTTTTCGGACGGTTTTAGGTTTACCGCCCGTGACACGAGATTCGTGTAGGAAACCATCTCCCTCGCAAGGACGCAACACAACGACGAAACAGCCTTACTGGCGATTTCAGCCTTCCTAAAACTCACTTCTTGCACCGACGCGGAGTAGTGAGTGTAACGTTGACCATCTCCTTGTAATACTCCAGTTCCACCGACCATCTTGTCTAGATCTTTTGCATCCTGCCACAAATGTTCCGCCCGAATGGCTGTGACGTAATGATTCGGTTTCTTCTGTATTGTTTTTTCTTCATAATACTCATAGTTGTATGCAAAATGAGCTCCGCCAGCTGTCGTATTGCCTTGAAGAACGCGACGTGCAAGCTGAGAACATTCACTCGTATTGTCTTTGCCGAGACTATAAACCAACTCATTCATCGAGTTGAAACACTTGTAGAGGGGATATTTGATTTTTTGATTTTGATGATAGTAGAATGCAGAAGTAACTCGATCTATGGGATTGCGAATACTGAACAGAAACGTGTCAGTATGATTCATCAAGAAATCTTGTTCGTCCGGCGAAAAGAAGGAGCTTCCAATGTGCATATGGCCTCGGATATGATTGGTTAATGCGGAGTTGTTGCTTGATGATGCTAGACAATTTGCTGCGTTGGACTCGTTGCGTTTCCAACAACCCAGCTCTTTCTTGTTCTTGGCCAGAAGAACTGGCAAGTGCATTCGTAATGTCATCCCACCTGCCTTTCCAACGTGAATGAAATACATTGCAGGAGAAGTGATTGAGAGAGACTTTGGCCATTTCATTGGAACATAATCATGGTTGTCAATAGGGTGGTTTATTCCTGGAGCTTTCAAATCGATTTCATCGTTAAGATTCCAAAGCATGAGCAAGAGGATCAGTAAGCAGCATGTCATGAATCCAATCTGAATGTGAAACGCCTTCCCTTGGTTTGGTGACTTTTTTCTCCTGCGAAGTCTCACTCTCATTATGACGACAAAGATTTAGATGCTAAAATCGCCATGGTATCTACTTCTTGTTGTTTCTGTCCGACCGCATACAGCAGTGACTTGTGATGCGTGATCTATACAGTAATATGTGGCTTTAAATTGTTTTTGTTCTAAAAAATGTTACAATCTCATTTCGTTGCGGACGACTGACAGAAGGTATTTTGATACTATCGAAGCACTTCGTGTGAATTAGAAAGAAGAAGAAGAATGATAGATCTGCTGTAGAAGAAGTATAATAGCTAGCTAAATTATCCTAAAACCCTGGTGCATCCAGCAGGCTAAGAACTAGACCAACTCCGTACCCGGTTCCTCGTTGTCCATTAGTTCCAGGCCCTGCCATATCCACATGAAGCCATCCGTTCTTATAGTCCTTGTCCAAATGTGCTTCAATGAAATGCCCTGCACAGGAAGTTTGGGCATTGGATCGGTCCTTGACACTATTCTTCATATCAGCGACTTCTGACTTAAATTCGTCCATTAAGAGCTCTGGGCTGTAAAGGAGGGGGTAAACCAAATCACCGCTGTGCATTCCTGCAGCCATGGCCCTGTTTTCAAGCTCTTCTGTATTTGCTAGAATACCAGCATGCTTTTTACTATAAAATCAAATACGAAAAATGAGTTAGCTAAAAGAAGTAATCGTAGCAACAGCAACTTCCCAGCAATTGCTCAAGTGAGAACTCACCCAGTTGCCACAAGCTGAGCTCCAGTCAGCGTTGCCATATCCACTACCAGATCCAATCCGTCAATGTGTTTTGTGGCATGTGCGACGCCATCCGCTAGAACCAGGCGACCTTCGGCATCGCAGTTGTTGACTTCCACTGTCTTTCCACTATACATATCCAGAATGTCATCGTTGCGAAAGGCATCAGGACCAATGGCGTTTTCGGCCAAGCAAAGAATGCAGTGAACCTTTTTTGGAACGCCCAATTGCACGGCGCTCCAAAATCCAGCAAAGACACCAGCCGAGCCTCCCCTTGAAGGTAGCGAAGAAAGAATTGGCGTGAGCATAGTTGCAACATCGTAAAACCCCGCTATGCATTACTTTGGACCTTACATATCATGTTTCATTCCGGCCATTCCAGCTCGAGTCTTGAGGGACAGGCCTCCAGTATCGTAAACGATTCCCTAAGAAGGAGCGAGTCAGTGGTCAGTAATATGAAGATGGTGGAGTCGAGACTACCATCAAAGATGGAAACTACGGGTGCAAATACAAAAGAAAACAACACTGAAACCTCAGGAGTATAGTTTTGGTGTCGTCATCCTTCCGTTTCGCGGCGGACGTATCCACAACCTACCTTTCCGACCAAGGCAACTGTCTCAGCATCTGCAGATCCATTAGTTCCATCGTATTCCAGTAGAACCAATCGCGGAGGACAGTTTGCCGCTTGACCAACTCCATACAGTCCACCGTACTGTTTCAAATCATTTCCAACGATTTGTTTCATTTCTACCTTGGGCTTGTCGCCACTCTTGTTGTAATCGTCGACCATCGATTGGATTTCCTTGGCATATTGAGACGTGGTCAAGAGAGCAGGATGAGAATCGACCAAGCGGGCCGCCAATTGGACACCTGCAGCAGCAACTTGAGCTGCTTTGAGTTCGGCTTCGCCATCGACCATGGTACCATCAGATTTGCAAAAGACGATGCTGATGGTCCTTTTCTTATCGTCAGATGCCTCGTCATCGTCATCACCAGAAGCTTGAGTCTTGGACTTTTTGGAGAATAAAGGAAAAGCCTTGGCCATCGCCATAGCGAGAGGGCCGATGGGGTGGTCGTCTGTCAATACTACCACACGAGTATTGCTTCCCTTGCCGCTAGTCCCGACCAACGATCCCACCAGTCTAGTCAACGAATGTACAGCCATGGGATGGTTGTGTCTCGACAGTTCGCTGGGGAGCCCCCCAATGGAAAGTTTGTGTACTTTGTTGTTACTGGACAAGAAAGTTGAGGAAGACCCTCCTTTCTTTTTGCCAATGGATTTTAGGATTGTTTCAACTATAGGGCTATTGCTCTCATCTTGCAGTCCCAGTAATTCCACCAACTGTGACATTAAAAGGTTGTCTAATGATGATTTCTTCCCGATGATCACCGTAGAATTGTAGTCTTCCATGGAAGGTAATGATGAGACAAAGTCTAACGTGGGGGCATTGGATGTGCCCGCATCTGCAGCGGTAGATGCGTGCAAAGAGGTACTGTAGAAACTAGTGGCAACCGATCTTGATGGTGACATCATTCTGGTAGCGAGTCCTCTCGCTTGCGGCGCCGGAACATTGAGAAAAGAAGACACTGATGTCGTCGTTGACAAACATAGTAGGAGTTGTGGGAAACCACGCCATGCACGGAAGGAGGCCATTGTTTCAACGGATTTTTTTAGATTTCAATGCGATTAAAATTCTTGTAGATGCCTCACCAAGATGTGGGATAGAGGATACAGCACGATACAATTCTAGCTATACTGTAGACCTAAAATTGAATGTTGTATTGGCGGTGCGATCCGCCGAGGATGATGACGTGCACAAAAATCCAGAGATCTTTCAGCAGAACCTTTGTAATATTTGGGGTATACTACTTTATTCCCCAACCCCATTTCGGGTCCCATAAACAAGCTCTGTGATCTTGATAGTTACAATTCGACCGCGATGCTCCAGTCCACAACAAATAAGCGGATTGGGTCCTACAGTGGATGAAATGCTATGATTATTCAAAAGAAAGTATCCTATGGTAGTCGAGGATGATTCGATGACCTGACGATAATTCCAGCCAATCGCGCAAAGTTGGATTCGAATAAAGTATGATGATTAAAAATACAATGCAATATGCTAGCGCGTCTATCAAAATTTTGAGATATCCGATCAACTCTTGACGATATTCTCGACATTGGACAGTTCATTCGTTAGATCGTCAATCAAAGCCTGCACCATCCGGCTTCCCGCTCGCCCAGATTGGTCTTGAGATTCACTTCCACCGTGGCGAATAATGCCATCATCTGAATGCATCCGATACCAGTCCTGTTGCTTGAAGTGGCTGTGGATCTTGTCCCAGGTCAGCCCCTTCAACTCTTCAGATCCCGGTTGCCCCTTGTAGGCGATGGCGATGAGATTGCCACAGGCAGTCTGAACTTTCCGCTCGTACCGCCTGACGACCTTGGACAAGGTCTCGACCTCAGAGACAATATGCGACGTCAATATCAATTCACTTCCATGTGACCTTGCAGAGGCAAGCGAGTTAGCAGAGGTACAGGAGATCCTTCGTGTACTGCGTTCCTCGTTACGTGCTATTGCAGCTTTCGTCATTTCCTCAGTAATTCTCTTCCCTTCAAGCTCCCACCGCTTCCGATTACTGCGGGCTTGCTTAATGAGCTGGTTGCTGACAATGTCAAAAATACCGCATTCTCGAAGATTTTCAGCAAGTGGGATCACCCAATTGTCAAAGAACCACAGCTCGCCGTTGTACCAGTTGGTCGATGGATCCTTGGGTGTTCGACCATCTTCATGGGCATCGTAAAATTCGTTGAACAGCTTCTCGTTCCACTCTCGATACAGCTCCCAGTTTTGCATTGTGTGCACAACATCGGATGCTTGCATAAGTTGCTCAATGACAATCGTCGCCTTTGTGTTGGACTCGTCCTCGTACGAGGTAGCCGAGTTATCGTGGAAGACCTTTTCCCACCGAATCCTGCGAGTTTCCCGAAGGTCCTTGTCGAAAATATCAGTGGCCATGACGCAATTGACAAGCAAATGACGGAGTCGTTCTTTCTCCTGGGGCGAATCAAAGAGACACTTGTGGAGGTTCCGGTAACTGTCCGACATGAGAACTGCCCATGCTGTGTCGATTGAGTTTTGCTCGGCAATACTCTTGTTGTTGTACCTCTCGGCGAGAGCTGGATTTTCATCAGCCAACTGACCGTTCGGAATTCCAATGTGACCCACATCATGGACCACAGCCGATAGTACAATGGCAAACTTGGCAAGCGGATCAGAAGCAATACCGCTCGCATCTTTGGACCCTTCCTTGGCATGGATCCCGGTCAGCAGAAGCTTTGCAAGATGCGCAACATGACTTGCGTGCATGAAGTTGTGGAATTCGTTGCTCTCGTATCCACTGGCAATTTGAACAACAAAGTCATGAAGCTCAGACCGAGCTTCTGGACTGAGTTCTGGAGCAGCTTGGTTCGAATTGGCACCACCTTTTCCCTTTTTCATCTCGATCACCAGTTTGACTTCGTCCACAGGATTGGTAGCTCGAATAGACTCCCCTGAAAGAGCTGTGTCAAATGGAGTCACGGAATCATGAGATGCAGCGACGTCCCTTAGCAGCTTCTCCAAGATGTCAACGTTATTGGCGATTAGACTTTCCACAGACATATCGCAATATTTCTCCACCGAAGCGCGGCCGACAATGGCCCCTGGAAGCCTGGTAGCAGCAACCCATTCTCTTCCAGTGTCTCCCCAGAGAATAGTGTTCGTTTCGACAATTTTCTGGATATGGTCAAGGGACGGAAATGCGTCTTGCATGCGTGTGATAAGAGGCGTCACGGCATTCTTGAAGTACATGTTCTGCTCGTAAAACCAACTGTCGCGTGGATCCTCCGCTCGATCGTTCCGAAAAGCTTTCAGAATCTCCTCAAACTGCAGTCGGTTTCGCTGGATGAAGACATTGTAGGATTGCGTGTAATGACCAATCATCGCAGTGCAGACCATTAGACAGAGTTTCGCGTCGTTCAATTCTTTGAATCCACGGGCGGCCGCTGATTCCTTCTCAGTGATGGCATCATACTCTTCGACAACTGCCAAAAGCTTCTCTTCTGTTTCGATGTCGGTGGCCAGCATCAATTTCCGCAAAGATCCACGGAAACTTGGGCATCCAAAGATGATCTCCTCGTACAAATCCGCAAATTCTTCTTCAAGTAATTCAAATGCCGTGATGAAGGCATGACGTTGTTGGTACGCCCCTTTGCCCTCATTCATTTGGAAATACAAATGCTTCTCTGCTTCAAGCTGCGCATTCGACACACCCTGGTGACCAATGCCATGGATCAAAACACAAAAAAGAAGGGCAAAACGGTCCCAAGGATTGTCGTAAAACGACGTGTTCTTCTCAATCCGAGAAGCCGCCCATGCCTCCCAGAGATAGACTGCCCTCGTGAATGTTTGTGCTGTCTGATCGAAATTGTGATACGGATTTTCTTCATTGTAGAGAATGGCGATTCGCTTCACAAATTCTTCCAATTCGGCAATAACAGTTTCCATTCTGCTGGCGCTCTTGTGAACACACTGCTGTAAACACGATGAAAGCACAGCTGTGATTCGCTCAAGCGACTGTTCCAAAGACAAGGTCTCGTCCCACTTGATACTCTCCCAGCTTTTGCCAAAGTGATAACACTGCTCTTCCGATAGATCAATGATTGTAGTCCCGGAGCCTTCGATGATGTCTTCTTCACCAGGTTCGATGTCGCCTTCAAGGAGGCTATCAACACTATGAATCGACCCATCATCAGACTCATACGTTTTGTCTTGTGGCAAAAATGATGCGACGATTCGACCACAGCTGCTCTCTTCCTCTGGTCCACTGCCAGAACTTTCACTTTGAGAACTCATGGAATGGTCAGCAACGGAAAAAGCATCGACCAATCCTCCCTTGCGAAAGTATTTTCTCTTTTTCCACGTCTTCGAAGCGATCATTTGTTCAGCGTGTTTTGAAAGTTCAGAAAGCGCTTTGGAGTTGCCCCCTTGGTTGAATTCAGTTCCACTCTCGACAAAGTATGTGTAGTGTTGTCCTTTTCCTTTCATATCCACTAGACCACGGGCCTTGAAGTTGTACTGTGGTTCGTCCAGCTTGGCGAAAGTTCGGAGGCGACTGAACAAAACACTGGAGCAGTGAATCTTGCCAGGAATACCAGTCGACTCATGGCGAGCTGTTACATTCACCATATCTCCAAACAGACAGTAGTGGGGCGTCATGGTTCCAACAACTCCAGAGGTGCAGCTGCCAGTATGGATACCAATACGCATCTTCACTGGTGATCCATCAAGTGGTGACTTGACGTGTTTGCTACATTCAATAACAGCCAAGGCGAAATTCGTGACGTTCTCAGCATGAAATTCATCGGGCTCTGGAAGTCCCGAGCAGCACCTATATCAACGAAACAAAATGCGTGAGCGATAATCAAAGACGTGAGCGATATTCAACATTGAACAGGTACAGGTCATTTCAAATATTCTCACATGTACGCATCGCCAACCGTTTCGACCTTGTACAAGTTGAAATGCGCAGCAAGATAGTCCATAATTGAGTAGAGCTGATTCATCATATCAATAATATCCCACGGTTCCACTTGGTCACAGATTTTGGTGAACCCAACAATATCAGAAAAGAAAAGAGTCACGTTTTCATGAAAGACTGGATCAACTGTTTTCCCCCGACGGAGGTCGTCAGCAACTTTGCGGGGGATGATACTATGCAACAGTGTGTTGGATAGATTCTTTTCCGCGTCCATCTTTCTGCTTAGCTTGTCGAGCTTGTGCGCCTTGTCGGCTTCTTGCGTCACATATTCTCCCAAGAAAACGGCATCGCGTTGGTTGGATTGCAATGGAAGGTCAGATAGAGTCAAGCCCATATTGTTCAGTTCAGTGACGTTTGAAACTTCAGGACTCAAGACGAACATGACCCTTTCACGTGATGTCTCAACCATCGATGCTTTGAATTTGATCCTATCATCTGACATGGCAACCTTCTTACCCTTAGGCTTGGTAGCAATCGAAGGCGATAGGATAAAATTTTGATCGGCCAGCTTCTTCATACTATTCCAGTTCCATGATGTTCCAAGAACCGGTTTAGTGATCTCGAGAAACGTGTTGATATGACTTCCCATCATTTCGCTTGCCCTTCGCTGAAGTAGCTTTGGAAGCTTCGATCCAACTTGGACAATATGGAAATCGTTGTTCACCAGAACATGGAATGGAAAAATTCCCTTCATTCTGTCGTAAGAAACACCAGGGGAGTCTTCGGAGCTAGCCATTGAGCTATCAGCAGTATCGACCGTCTTGTCAGCTGAGTCATTCTTGATGTGTTCATGAGGAAATGGACACTTGCCCTTTGAAGCATCAGACTCGTCACCCTTTTCCAAGGTGGAGGTCTTGGTGTCTTGACCATGAGAAAAAGGACATTTTCCAGTCGATTTCTTGGTTTCTTCGATTTCAATCGTCGTTTGCTTCAGCTTGCGCCCCGAAAATGGGCACTTGGCAGGCAACGGCACGTCATCGAAGTTGACCTCTTCCTCGTCAACGTTTTGTGAAACCTTTGGAGAGAGCTTCCAGGTTTGTGTCGGATCAGTAGCAACTATCCTCCAGGTTGTGAAACTCGAACCGTCCACGTCCTGCAGTGATAGCCTAGTCATGTCAATCTCAACCCCAAAGTGGTAGGACGCGAGCTCCTGCGATATCAAGTCTGTTAGATCTTACAGAACAATATTTCATTCAGAAGTTCCATGCAGTGCTTACCTTCACGATCCCCACAACCCATGCTACTAACCGATTTCCACGCTGGCTGTAGTAATGTAATAGAATACTTCCCTCGTAGATTTCTGAGTCTGAGTCTTCGCACCAAAAGACAGGGGGGCAAAAGTTTCCGCCTGGGAAACTTTTTTGAATGTGATCGTGCATGGCATTGAGATTCGACAACCATTGTCGTAAAGTTGAACCTTGGCATTTCAGCAATGCGTCATACCCATGTGAAAAGTGGTATCTGATGTTATAGTGACCGTATTCCTCGAGAATGGTATCGAATGAAGAGTTCAACACCTCAGCAGCAGCTGTGATGAGGTTGACCCAAGAATCGTAGCTGTAAAATGTTCTTGTGACGAAGGCTTGATCCTGGACATCGCAACCTGCCTTTGCCTTGATTGCGTGCCATGCCTTGACTCCTTGTTGCTCGAGCACCCACTCTTCGAAGATTTCATATACAAGCCCGTGCATGGCTGAAAATAAAGTTGCTGATTTTGTGAGAAAGTTTGGAGTTGCGTCAGCTCGCAGGACCTCACATTTCTGCAACAAAAAAAGACAGGAGCGTTTTTATGACGTCTAAAAAAAAAGCATGGACGTATCGCATACTTATTGCGTCATCAAATCGACATTTGATCAATAATCAACAGGAACGAGAATCGAGAATGTCATGATTTTTCGATTTGCCAGCACAGAAATGACGTTTTGTACAGCCAATGACAAGACGGGAAGGATAGGCGGAGAAGTATGTTCGACTTGTTGTTTCACTTTTTACGATCAAGTGAGAATGTATCAAAAGTTCCAAAGCATGTACAGTTGATACTGTATCCTACGCTGATAGTCCTCAGGTTCGCCGATGTTTTGTTCCAAAGTAAGCTTACATTGCTACTTTTTCTGGACATTTTCTTTTGTTTTAATTGTAGTGGTACCTCTTCTCCTGGGTTCCCTTACGTAAGTGAGGGTGTGTCTCCATGGCGAATTACCATCACCTGCGCTCATATTGTCCAATGATGGTGAGAAATCCGGTCGAGCGCTTCTCATATGGAAGAGTCCCGAAGATAAAATTCGTTCTGTTCCCACACAACTTGACACCTGCCTTCCGGCGGATTCTCAGTTGTCAATACTATGCGCCATCCTTCATCCGCGTTCCGTCAAGCTCGAACTCTTGTATCCAATGGAGAGAAATTTGGCAGAATTATTTCTGCTCTTGGAAGAGCCTCGAAGATAAAATTCGTCTTGTTCCTGCACATTGAACATATGCATCCTTGACACCTGCCTTCTCTGGATTCTCACACATGCCAGTATGCGTCATCCTTCCTCTATCCTCGTCTCTTCAGCCTTGGTTTCATGAACCATCTCGTGTCCTTGCTAAATATTAAGGCCTGGATTGTCGCAAATACGGATGATCATGCTCCGCTACAGCAGTAGCAGAATGATTTTTGTGTCAAGTCCGTTCGTCATTGCCAAAGAAGCTGTTAGCAGAAGCGTTGGATGCGCCAATGGAAGGCTGGTATTGTTATATTTCGATAACTCATTCATTTCCACCACCGCGTACTGTGCATGTATGAAGTCACGATCAGAGCAGCAGTCCGACCAGACCATTCTCATAGTTTCGTTCGACTTTCGTAAAACCTTGACATTTTCTTCCAAGCGCCATGAATATCTCCTCATTCTTCAACTTATTATGAGAGTCAGGATCTTTGACTCTTCTTCCAGCGGCCTCAATGGCTTCACCCAGCCAACGTGTGTCACATTGTTGGTAGTGAATAAACA